GCAGGAATTAAGATCATTCTTGAGGTACCTGTCTCACAGTCATCATTGCAGGTCATGTCAACCTGTATGCACCAGATGTTGAAAACGTTCATTCTTCTTGATTTTTAGTTAGCAAGGTGCATGAAATATTTAATGGGGAAATTTGGAAATACAATTAAATCTCTCTCTGCAGTGGGTTTTCTTGCTCTTGGTAAGATTATGAGGAAATAGTAACTCTTTGAGGAAATTTAAAGAATTATCTTGGAATTTTCTTAATGGAGTGGAATTATATTCGTAGGTCTCTTTAAAAATATAGACTATATACTTTAATGTCTTTGTATATTGCATTTTAGAGGAATACCTTTATTAACTAGGACTGGAATTTAATTTGCTTTATATTGGTATAGTGTGCTAAAGTACAAGTCATTTCACGGCCGAATTGGAATTAAATGGCAGATCTTGGACCTTGGGGGAATATACACCGTGGCAGGGGTTTCTTGGCCAGTTGCCAGTCTTTTGTGTGAAGTTATACAGAGCCGCAAGTGTGTGGACTCCGAGAGCTTCTGAAATGCAGGAAGGGAGCTGCAGCTGGTCACATAACCATCTCATTTGTGGGTTTAGAACAAAATGCCAGGGAATCATCCTGTAGCATTATACTGACAGCCTAAAAGGAAACTGTGCTAGTAGTAAGCTGATGAAGCTGTAGTTTAAATTAACATTTTCCCCACACCTCACTATGATTAAGAAACAGAAAAGGATTTCTTCTTCTGTATGCAGTGTGTGTGTGTGTGTGTGTGTGTGTGTGTGTGTGTGTGTGTGTGTGTGTTATTTTACAATGCACCTTAGTAATTTCACTTCAGTTTGTAAGTTTTCCTTGTATATAAATTTCTTGTGGTTACACTACTTGGTTTACTTTAGAGGTGTATTAGGTTTAACCTATTTGATTATTAATTATTATGCTTGTAGTCCAAATATTTTGACTATAGCTAATGTTAAGGCGCCTTTTCCATGTGCTCTGTCCTCTGAAGAAGTTGAAACATGCTCCGAGACTTACAGTTTTTCTCTCCTTATTTTCCCTTTTCAAGAGTCCCTGCCTTGTCCTGTCTTTGCATATCCTTTATGAGGTTATCATTGAGCACTCCCCCCTCCCCCAAGTAACTCCAATTGTAGCTGGATGTAATCTCCCCTAAACTCACAGTCCTTGGGATACTTATAATTTCCTGCTGCACGTTAGTTATTTGTAAGTGTCCTTGGGGACTGCAGGAACCATATGTCAGATCTTTGTATCGTCCACAGTACTCAGTGTCTGGTGCCGAGTAAGCAGTAGATGTTTGAAAGACTGAATTTTGTTAACTATTTTCCAAAAATGGGGAAGGTTATACCAAATCTATACTATTGTGCCCTCCTGATCCTTTTGGAGGACTGAAGAGCTGCAGAACCCTTTTCCTGAAGAAGACTCAAATCACAGCATATGTGAGCTATTCCATTTACCTCCTGAGAGGGACACCCTTGCAGAGCAGGTCCTTTCACTTCTGATATAAACTGGGTGTCCAGGAGAAGCACATATTAACCAAGCAGAACATAAAACGGGTCATTATTTCAAAAGAGGGAGAGAATCATTTTGGTTTGACACAAACCCACTCCTTTAGGAGACAAATGAAGATTTTAATAAAAATGAAAATCTTAAGATTTTCACACAAGGGCAGGTGTTCAGATTATTGTGTGTGTGTTCAGTAATATTTCCTTTCCTCCTACCCCAAATTCCCTCCCCCAGTTAATACAAATGGAATTGTATGTGGTATACATTATTGTATCAAAAAAAAGATTAAAATTGTTTTAGAAGAAACAAAGATTAAAATTAGGAACCTTTTTTTTTTTTTTTTTTTTTTTGCGGTACGCGGGCCTCTCGCTGTTGTGGCCTCTCCCGTTGCGGGGCAGAGGCTCCGGACGCGCAGGCTCAGCGGCCATGGCTCACGGGACTAGCCGCTCCGCAGCACGTGGGATCTTCCCGGACCGGGGAACGAACCGGTGTCCCCTGCATTGGCAGGCGGACTCTCAACCACTGCGCCACCAGGGAAGCCCTAAAATTAGGAACTTTTATTTGACTTCTTATGTAGATAGACATTTGGAGTTAATAGATTTAAAATACTGAACATATAATTTTTGATATCTGACATAGTCTTGTCAACTTATCAACAATAGCTGAATTTCTGAGAATTCAGAAGTATGAAAGGAGTATTAAAACTAAATTACTAGAATTTTTCCTTCCTGGCAGGGTAATGTTTTAAAGCACTCCTTCAAACAAAGAAATATTATGAAATGTGAGTCAATTCATTTGTCTAGAAGAAAGACTTGTATTTTAGATTTTAAACACCTATAATAAATAGCAGTTTTAATTAAAACTAATAAAAATAAAGCTTTTATTTGTGGGTTTAAATGGATGCTGAATCATTTTCAAAGGCAGTTGTGATTAAAAATTTAAAAGGGGAAGATCTTTTGTTGACTATCCTTATAAACTTTTTGGGCACAAATTGTCAGTGTTGTAAAGATTAGAGAACAGGAAGAATTTTGTTTATTTAAAAACAGCATTTTGAAGTTTTATTAAAAAGAAACTTTTTAACACGTGGTCTGAAAACAAAAGGCTCCTTCTTAATAAGCTGGTACTTTTCTGCTTTTAACAAAGGAAATGAGTTTTCTCTGCAAGTATTCTAATTTTCCGAAATTGGCTTAGTTGATGGCCGCGCGTTAGAATTGAATAAAAGAGAATTTAAAAATAAGCTTGTTTTCTAAAAGAGTTCTTTGGATTTAACTTTTCTTGGTTTGAAATAGATGAAGTCACTGGAATACCATCTTGTTTTGTTTTTTGTTTTCTGTAACTATATCTGTCATTTATAATAAAGCTGGAGGTCAAAGTTTACTCTAGGTGTCATATTATGATGTTATCTATTATACAAGGGAATGAAAAGGAATTTAAAACTTAATGATGGATTTGCCATTGCCTGTTCTTGAAGGGTACTTTTTGCATTAAAGTTTTTTGATTTTGTTTCTTTGGTATTAGTATTATACATGACTTACTGTATAAAGATTGCCTTATAGCCAGTAGATTAAAGGACTTGTTCCTTTACTGTTGCGTAAAAAATTCAGGTTCATTTGTATGATGATTGCTTGTTTCACGTGGGTGAAGAACGATTTGGTCTGGGAATATTTTCTTGGTGCTTCAAGAATATGATGTGGAGACTTAAGACTTGAGTAGCTTCAATAGCACTTACAACAGGAATGGAAAAAGCTTTAGAACTTTAAAGCTGAGAAAGAGAGAGAGATTTTCTTTGTTTTGCATGGGACACCTGCACTATATAATATGGTAGCAGTTGAGCAATTAAAAGTGGCTAGTGGGACTGAGGAATTGAATGTTTTATTTTATTTTAATGATTATGTTTAAATTGCCACATGTACTGGTAGCTACTATATCAGACAGTGTAGCCTCACACTTAAAATTTAACAGTGAGCATATTAATATTATG